ATAACAGCCATTTGTGCTTGCAAGTGTGTACTGGGGTCAAGGTCCATCATCCCTAGCTATTTTTAACTTGCCCTTGGATCATATTGCCACCTTGAATGGTTGGTGGTCATAGTGTCAAGCAACTGCCTTTCTGCATCAACCGGTTTCATCAAAAATACACCACCAGCTGCAGCATCAAGGGAGTCTCTTGTTGTTGGTAGCAGCCCATTATAGAAGATACTCAGTTGAAGATGCTCTTCCAAACCATGCTGAGGGCATTTTCTGACCATTTCCTTCAGTCTTTCCCATGCTTCATAGAGTGTTTCTGTTCCATGCCGCTTGAAGTTCATTATTGCTGTTTTGAGTTGTGCAGCTTTTGCGGGTGGAAAGAATTTTGTCAGGAAACACTGTCTTAACTCTTCCCAAGTGGAGACAGAGTTGTTGGGTAATGTGTTGAACCATCCTTGGGCGTGATTCTGCAAAGTAAAAGGGAATAACCTCAGTCTAATGTCATCATTAGATAAGCCTTGAATTTTAAAAGTACTGCATAAACGCAGGAAACTTCGGATATGATCATTAGGATCTTCATGAGGTAATCCATGGAACGGGCAGGCTGATTGAGTCCATTGGATCATCTATGGCTTTAGCTCAAAATTGGTTGCCTCTACATCAGGGAACACCAAAGGGGATTGGACTTCTTCTTGTTGTGGGATAAAGAAATCTCTAAGCAGTCTCTCTGGTCGATTTTGTTGATCCCCACCAGGGTTCCTATTGTTCTCAGGGTTACCACCTTGATTAGCCATTTCTGATGAACCTTCTTGGTTGTCCTGTTGCAACCGGTTCTGTCTTTTTCTTGCTGCTCTGGTTCTGCATATGGTAGCTTCAATTTCTGGGTCAAAAACAGGTTCACTCCATTGGTGCCTTCTAGTCATACACCAAAGAAAAGAAACTGGAAGCTTAGTTGGGTAACTAGAGAAGAATTTTATATATTTACAAACAAACAAAAACAACAATTTTTTTTTTGGAGGTTTTACCCCGTCCCCGGCAACGGCGTCACTTTCTGGTGCGTGCCGAGTTCACCAAAAATATTACTAGCTTAGATTATGAATTTTGTAGATAATGGAAGCTAGGTCAATCCCACGAGGACAGCTAATTACCAAAATTGTTGTAAAAAAAGACTACAAGTCAGACGAGGTGTCACTCAGGGGAATGGAAACAGTCACTAAGGGGAATGAAAGCTAGGGGTGTTCTTCTCCTCTTCCTACTGTTGTAGTTGTTTTATTAGCACAGTAATGGTTGAGTTCTTGTTCATTCAGCTCAATTATAACTCTAAGTCAGTTCCCATTTTTCCTAGAGTCATCTTTGCAACTTTAACAATCTATTTTCCAATGATTGATTCCAGATAAAAAGTCATTAAGTTTTTAGGCCTTCAAGAATGCTTATGTTAACTAAGTATATTCCTATCTTAGTTAAAACCATAGACTGTTACCTCTATGTCATAAGTTAAAGTTGAAACAATCCAAACCAAGTTTATCTTTCTAGATCTCCCTTAGTTCTAGCATGCATTCAATTTAGTGATCAAGTAAACGAATGTAGAAAAAACATTCAACCTTAAAACAAGGAACAAAACCATTGGATTAACAACTACAACATAAGTTGAGGAGAATAACTCCTGGAAACTGTTTAGCTACTCATACAGATTAATGCTACATCTACTACATCAAAAGACATCATAGAAGTATGCATAATAAACATAGTTGAAGCTAACAGTCAAGAGACGAGAAAAAAACTTGTCCAGTTTCTGAGCCACTCCTGGGAGTGAAAGGGTTCACTCATGGAACTGAAGCAGAAACTGGGATGGCTACTCTCCAACTTGGCTTCCTTACTGAGTTGTTGTTGCTTCTTCTTCCTTCTTGCCTTTTACCTGGAGTTTTTCTGTGTGTTCTTGGCAACTGAAAGGGTAACCAAAAAAGATTCCTTGCTTCTGAGAGTGCAGTCCCCCTTTTATAGGGCCTTGCAGCCGGTTCTTTTATCATGAGAGCCACCCCATGCTTGTAATTTGTTTAATCCTCCCAATGCCTTGTGCCTGGAATTTAAACTTGGCTATTCTTCTTCTCTTCTTCCAGAAGTGGCAGCATTGCTCTCATTGATCAGCGGGGGAGGCTGAAAATTTGGCTGGGGGACAAGCATGCCTCTCGGAGGAGATAATTTTTCACCAGTTATGCAATTAAACCGCAACCTAACAAAAACATGAAAACTAGTTAAGTAGAATGCACTAAAAATAGAAAATATCCCCCAATTTCTTACTAAATTCAAAGTTAATTGTGATTCTTTTATGTAACAAATAAACCATTATCACTCACCACTTTCCACGCCTCTATCACCCCATCAACACCAACTTCACGCTGCACATCATCATCAACGGAGGAAGAAGCAGCAACGCATCAACCTCAGACTCAACTTTTGGCTGACTTTCTCCCGGGTTTCATTGTTTTATTTATTTTTGAGATGATGTGTAGCTAAATTATTTAATCTAGGATTTTGGATGTAGCCGCCGTACTATTTAATTTAATTTAATTCATGATTGTGACTTTTTCATTAGTTGATATTTAATATTCTTGTTTTTATTCCGTGTGAGTATTTGATCACTACTTGCATGCTTTAAAGGTGTTTAACTGAAAGAACGACGGTTAAAGGTTAGCACTAGTTCATGGGAATATTAAACTTAGATAGTGAGCCACGAAAGTAGGAACACCGTCTTTGCAGCTATAGATTCTAGGGTTCTTAATGTACTCTAATTAAATCCTATAGTATCGACAGTAGTCATAGGATTAGTTTGAGTAAGAGAATTATATCACGACAGTGAATAGTTCTTAAATAGGTGAATCGTTGTGAGATTAATGAAAGTCCAAAGTCACATATCTATAGGTTGAGTTAAACTGAGTAGTCGGTAGGTGAACCCTTTTCCCTAGGTTTTCTTTTATTTGATTAATTATATTTAATTATTTGTTTTAGGTTTAGTTTAATTTAAAATCATTATTATTAGTTGTGTAAATAATAATAAGAAATAATTTTAACCTGGTACTTGGTATCTTTCTCTGTGGGATCGACCCTATTTTCCGCTATATTAGTGTTAAGTAGGTAATTTTATTTGACTAGTGATGATGACGGCTTGTCAATGGGAGGTGAAGGTTTTCTATGTACCAGCGACATGTCTATCTTCTTGTCTAAAAGAAGACTGGCTGAGAAAAGAATGATTTTTCATGTGGAGATTGCAGAAGAGATCTCCTAAGAATTGATATATTGTTGCTTTTGTATTCTATCATGAGTTAATAAGATCTTATGCTTGGTCAAATTCTTCTGAATTCTACCATCTGCTAATTAGATCTAATGCTGGTGCAATGCCTTCTCTAGGAGTTCTAGTATGTTTCTTCCTTGAATTATGGTATAAGATTACTGGGAGAATTTTATTCATTTTGTTGGTAATTTGATTCTTTACTCTATCAGCGTACCCATCATTTATTCATTTTTAGTTGCCTCGGGTGGCATGTTCTGAAGTTTTTATTACAATAGTTCTTCGTCATTAGCAATTGATCCTGCCTTTAGAAATCTGAGAAAGCTGGATGATTTGAGGAAAGATGACAAATTCAACATGATGTATTAATGGGAAGATGGACAATAGCTATAACGTAACTGCTTCACGGTCATTCCTTTAGTAACTATTGTTTCATAGGAAAACCAAACTCTCAGACATTAGTATATAAGAACTTGGTGTTGTACACTCATTGCCTCTTAGTTTGAAGTTCGATTCTTAAGTTATTAAGATTCCTGTTTGGCTTTCCTTCACAAAGCACATTTTTTTTAGGGCATATTGCTTATGTGCTCAATTTACAGTTCCTAAAGAAATTGGACTAACTTTTATATTCTAGTTGTTTTGAAGCCCATTTAAGGTTGATAAAGTCATTTTTCAGCGTAGAATACTTTTTATTTTGGGGGAGAAAACGAAAGCATAAAGTGTGCTTAGCCAAAAAATGGGCGCAAACTCACTCATAGCTCTGCAAATATATTGATTAGAACTTCACAGTTTGTAGTGGCTAACTCTTTTGGTATTCTCCCTTGCTTTCTTGCCATCATTGTTTTTCTTTTCTGGAGGTTATTACTATAATTCTCTGGTGATCCTATGGTCATTTAGATTAAATTTGCACGTTCAATTTTCCACTTATGTGCGATGCCAGTTGAAAATTGATGGAGGTTCAAGACTGCGAGTTCCCAAAGCATTTGACTTGCATTGAACTCCAACAATTGTCTCATTTGCTGAAAATTTTGAAGATGGTCTAAATTAAACAATTCATTCATAAAGGTGACAAGTTATTTTATGTGCTTCTGCCAAAGCTGGTCAGGTAGGAAGAGACTGGCTTAGTTGTACTCATTTTTTGGGTTGGTGGCCTCTTGCACAAGTTCAGAAGATATTTTGCCTTCCGGTCTTTGAACTTTGTGCTTACTTAATCCTTTGGGCAGATTCAGCCTAGCTTTTCAAAATGTTATTGTGTATGCCTGCGCGCCTCTTATTGTGGATTAATTCAGCCAATGAGTGTTCATAATTGTAGCTCTTTGCTTGAATTTTTTCTGTACTTTTGTTCCAGATTCTACCGTTTACAATACCGGTTTCTAAATTCTGTACTCTCTAACTCGTTTAGAAATGTACAAGAGGAAGTTTAAAAACATCATAATGCCATTTCCACAATCTTTCAAATTCATGCGGTCATACATGTAAATTAATGAAAAAAAAAGTTCCATTGAAATTTGTAGAATGGAGTGTAAGACCTTGGTTCAAAAATGACATGTTAAGTTTTGGTTACTAACGCAATATGATAATTTAATCATATAGACTAAAGTCTCTTTCTTATAACATTTATAAATAAATAAATAAATGTCCATTTCAAAAGATTAGAAGAAAAATGGGATGTTATAAAATAATAAATGTTAGTTCACCTTTTCTATATTTGATCGAAACCGCAAGTTTAAAAACGTCTCAGATCCTCCCATAACTTCGCAATCCATTTTTTAACACCTTTCCGGTCGTCAAGCCTTTCACCTTGTCCCCAAATTGCATATGCTTCTTCCCCATGGACAGCATCGTCGCCAACTTTCAAATCTTCCTCAGATAATCTAAGTGGAACAATTAGTTGCACCAAGAGACAGATTAAACTTGTCACGATTACATTGAGCACACCAACGAATAACACTCCGATAAGTTGAAGTCCTATCTGTCTGAACCCACGGCGAAATTCGCCGGTGTGGAAGCCATAGAAAAGGCCTAAGTAATTTCCATACTTTCCATAAAATATGTTGCATAGATTTGGTTCAGCAAATAGACCGGTGAGGATTCCTCCCAGGCTCCCGGCAATGGCATGTGTATGGAAGACAGCCATGGTGTCATCAACCTTTTGAAGTAACTTGGATTTTTTGTGCACAACCATCATAGTGAACCAAGGGATCGCTCCTGAGCAGATTCCCATTATTATTGCTGCCCATCCTTGAACAACACCTAAAAAAAAATAAATAAATAAAGAAGAAAAAAAATACTTAAGGGAGTGAGCTTGCTTCGTAAAATGATGACGAAATTTTCTGTAGAATTTTTTGCCAAATTATGCGAATCTCGTTTGCAGATTTCGAACCAAGGGTTCATATAACCAATTATTTGAAATTGAATGTTAGATTCTGAAAATTCTGAAAAATAAACGTTGAATTCATCAAGGGAATAAGAGATAAGCATTATTACCCTCATTATTGCTATTTAACTTGTACTCTCTCTGTTCGTGAAATAATTCAAGTTGTAATTTGTGTATTGTACTATAAACAATATAATTCACCAGGTTTACTGTGGACTATTCTCAGAAAGAGAAGAATATATTTTAAAATTAATTAATTGAAGAACCTTTAAATTTACGTGTCAAGTGATTCAGTTTCAGACACTGAAGTGTAAACCTAAACTCATGTCATTAATAAGTATTATCAAACACGCCGTACCGTACCTTAGACCATGTCATTTTTATTATGATCTTTGTCGCTTATTCTCTATTCTTCTGTTATACGTATAACATGTGTTTACGTAATAAATACACAAACTTCAAAGGAAAAAAAAACTTGGTGATAATATGAAAGATAAATTAATTACCAGCAGCTGGAGTGATACAAACCAAGCCAGCGATCATGCCCTGAATCACTCCGATTATGGAGGGTTTACTGAAGAAGACGATATCGAGTATAAGCCACGTCAATGAGCTAGCTGCAGTACAAACATGGGTGTTCAAGACAGCCAAAGAAGCATCAATATTGGAAGCATAAGGGTCTCCACCATTGAACCCGGTCCACCCCATCCACAGCAGACCGGCACCGGCTAACATTAACAATATGTTGTTTGGTGGGAAATTTTGTCTATCTTTTGTGGTACGTGGACCAACCTGATGCATATTGTCGAAGAACAAAATCACATTATATATAAGTAATTTCCAAAACCATTTGATTTTTCTTTTTGTCAAGTCTAGTCATGATGCAAATCGAGGCTATGAAAACCATCTTCTCAAACTTGAAAACTACTCCATTAATTAGTAACTAAGCCTACATCATGAAGTTGGATGGTGGGGGTGATTCTGTGGGCAAGGAAGCATTTCAATGCTTCTTCAGTGTAAGTAATTTATGCCACTCAAAGGCTTCTAACATTTAATTAGCTAGCTGCCACAAAATATTCTTAGTAGTTTTCATCTTTGTTTTCTTCTTTTGGTAAAAGCTGGCACTTGACCCTTTTTTTATAAAAAAAATATTGTTATCTGTTTAAATAATATTCAAAGTCTATAGAAACAGAATCCATATTCAATTCGAACCAAATCAATGTGCTTCGGCATTATCATTTCTATCTTTTGACATCAATTTTTAGAGGCCTCGATTGAACAGCGTCTTCTATTATTACCTTTTTTTCTTAATTTCAACTGATACGCAAGTGTATTATTAAGCAATGGAGAAAATTATGCATAAATACCATAATGTATCATGTAATTCTCCACACATTTTGTTATTTAATTTACTTTAATCTCTAATTTTAGCAACGACTCGGTGAAGGACAACCATTCGCTGACCAAAGCAATAAGAAAATCGTTCAATTAAAATTTATTATCGTTCCAATGAAGGAGAATAATGCACTTTGGTTAAATGCGGTGCAATAAGGGTATACATAACTTGAAGTTGTGATTTATTTTTTTTCTCCGCTAACCTGTTCTCCTTCTGATTGGGACGATCATTGAAATTTGAGGCTAATTTAATTTGACAAAAACATTCCTTCTAGTTGAAAAGGTAAAGCAAACTAGTGTAAAAAGCTAAGAGAATATGTATTGATGGATCATCATCACATCATGACTCATTAATCGAACAAAAGGAAATTTATGGGAAAAAAAACGAGTGATTTCAGAAGGGAAAAAAAAAAGGAAATTTACCCAATAAGCAGCTGTGAAACCAGCAACTCCAGAAGACAAATGAATAACATAACCACCGGAATAATCAATCATCCCAGCAAGCGCTAACCACCCTTTAGGTGACCAAATCGAATAAGCTCCAATTGTGTAAGAAAAAGTGAGCCAAAGTGGAACAAACATCATCCATGCGTAAAAATTCATTCTTCCCAAAAGAGCACCGGCAATCAAAATCAAGGTGATTGCAGCAAAGACAAACTGGAAAAACACCATAGTTGCATTCGGGAAATTTCCCATAAATGCTTGTTCCAACAAGTACTTCTGTTCAAGCGCGACATTAATTTTTCCCCATATTGGAATCAATTCGTCACCAAAAGAAAGGCGGTATCCCCAACAAACCCAACAAATTAAAACACATGCAAACGCATATAATGCCATGAATGCTGAATTTACAGCCCATTTTTTCTTCACTGCCCCTCCGTACAAGATGATCAGCCCCGGCACGCTTTGTAACCCGACAAATGTGGCAGCCGTGAGCTGCCACGCATTGTCACCCTTGTTCATCCACTCGGGGTTCCCGAGTAAATTGGGTCTTAAATTTTGTGGAAGATAGAAATAAGGTGGGGGTGGTGCTTGGCTCATATTGGTATTATGATCTCTTAAACTGCTTTAATGCAACAATGATGATTTATGAAAAAATATGTGATCAAAACTACTTGTTTATGTAGATGTGCGAAAAAGAAATTTAGTTATTGATGATTTTTTTGTTGGAAAAAACCAAAAAAGGCTGTCCGATGATGGCATTTGGCTAGATATATAAATACATGGGTATGGCATTGTTTTTTTAGGATGAACTCGTTTTTTAGCATGATTCGATTTACTTTGTCTAAACAAGTGATGGTTTTTTGGCGTTAGTACGTAATAGGAGTTAAAGAGATTCTTAGGGCTAGATGGAAATTTCAAGGCAACTCCTTTGGAGTTTGGCGTCTATTTGTTGATCAATTCAAGGGTTTCGATTAATTTGTTTAATCGAAAAAATTCAGTTTGAGATACATACCACTAGATTCATTCAACACACATCTCAGATTGTTTCTTCCAAATGGAGGCTTCCTAACTAGACTAATATTCGCTCTGTTCCACCTTAATTAATTGATAATTCATTCAATTAATAACTAAGCTAATACTACTCCTGTCAAAATAAATAATAATAGTAACAATTCACTTTCAATTTTGAGATTTGTATTATACCATCTCAGATTTTTTTTTTTAATTTCATTTATTTTTTTGTAAAAACATACTATCAGATTCATTTGAAACACATCTCAGAGAATGTCCCATTTAGTTATGACTGCGCTTTTGGAAGGGGCCGGGGTAATTATTGGATGATGATTACATATAAATGATGAGTTTAAGATTATTTAATAATTACTAGGTTTAATAATCAGAATTCACCTTTACTTTAAAAAACATACAAAACTTAGTCCCAACATATGTAAAAATACAAATAATCCCTCTTTTTTCTCTGTTTTTATTTTCTACTATTAATTCCTCTTATCTTTCAGTATTATTCTAGATTCATTAAAATATACCGTCTATGATTTTCAATGAGACTTACATTTATTTATTAATACTCTATCGTGCAAATTAATTGCTGCGCAATAATAGCTTGTGCATGTATCTATATTAACACTAAATATTAAACCCGTGCGCTGCACGTGGCAGATAATTTCACCCAACATCTTTTCTTTTTCTACACAAATATTGTCATCCTATTACTAATAATTATGTCGTAACAAATCATATGTACTAAAAGATAAGAAATATGAATCACAAAGCAGCCAGCTATGTTTGCTTACGATTTTACATCATTATATGATGTTGCTCCTACTTTCTTGTTGATCAACTTCTTCCTCATCTGTATTCAGCTTCCATTAGATCGGCAAATGTGGCTTCTAACTACGAACTCTTTCTATTGATGTCTATGCTAACATCTTCCCCTCGGGTTGATTAGCTTGTGGCTTCTGTCACTCCTGAATATTTATAGGCTCCCTTGTTTTAGTTCCGGCCATCATGCACGTACCTCTCTTACACCAGCTATGTTGTTTGAATGAAATATTATTATATTGTTATATAAATTTTTTGTAAGGGCAATGATGTTGCTTTGTATTAGTTTACTTGGTATGCATGCAAATCATATAATATATTGAGCAAAATGAAAGTTCCACGAGTAACATCATCATTGTTTCAGCACTTTGAATTAATTATTGATTATTTACCATTGTCTTACTTTAAATGCCCTTCTACATCGGATTTTTGTATATTATCTCTGACGTTTAAAGCGCGAAGAGCGTTAAACTCAAACTTGAACATCCTGAATGGTGTATTTCGGCATGACCGTTGAGCATTAGTGTAAAAGTTGGGTTGAACACTGTACCAAAAATAAGTCCAAGAGGTCAAATCACATACAATCTTGTAACTATCAAACTTTGCAATAATGTTGGAAAAGGTAAAAACAGAATTCATAGGTGATGCATCTATTCTTCTCTGTGGTGGAGGAGGTGTATTTGCAAGAAACACTACAAAAATGAATCAGAAATTAAGCTAATATATATACAAAAAAAAGTGTTATTATAGTTAACAAATACTAACAATCCATTCTTCCCTATACTTACCACATGAGATCAAGGCGGTGGACGAAAAAAAATTCGAAATCGTTTAGTTAGCAGTAAAAACAGGGGGAAAATGAAAATCCCGTTATATATACAAATAATGAAGGCATCAATGTTAGTAGTAAATGTGCATATAAGATAGAATAGGTATATGAATTCAAAAATGTCAAATTGAATGGCAAAGCTTTTATAGAATTAATCTAGATAGATTCCTTATCTGGGTCTGTCATGACTAAGGATAGGAATGACAACTAATTATTTATTCAGATGGTTACTGGCAACGAGGAAGTTCTTGGAATGAATGGCGCCATGGTAAGGGCCATCCGGGAAATGCTTTGAAAAAATTGGTCTTTGAAGTGACTTATATTTATCGTGAATAAAACTTTGCAACGGACTCTCTTGCATCTCTAGCTGTGACTGTTGCTGGAGGACTACATCGGCTTGATGTGCCACTACCAATCGTTAGACCTTGGTTAAAGCATGATGTCATTGGGATTTTATATCCACGGTCTGTAAGAATCTAGTACGAAGGCATTTGCCTCCTTAACTGTACCAAAAAAAGAATTCATTTTCAATGTGCAACTTTATCTTTTCCAATATTTTTGTGTAATTAGATTAGGCAAGGAGGGTAATAGTTACAAAGTAAATTTAATCTGGTTTTAGAAAAAATCTTTATAAATGAATCAATTAAGAATCAGTAATACTTACCCAGCTACTTGTCTATTATCTTTTCTGCTTCTTCAATTTCAGTTTGTTGAACCTCGTATTCCACAGTTGTATGCCAGTGCGGAGAAAAAACATGTTCAATTTTACTTTGAAAACCTGGGAAGAGAGAAGAGTGATCAGAGGCTATCAATGAAGATTACATTTAATCATGAGAATATAGAGTCAGCCCATGAATCTACAATGTAATCAACAATTTAATTTTGACTCAACATACATTAGCAATTATATGCAATCACCAGCTTTTTACTTATTTCATCCAAACGCTTCAAATCTAAGCAAATAATCACTATGAATCAATGATCTTGTTCCAGCAGCATTATACATGACATTTTCTATATTTTATCCCAAAAAAAACAAAGTATATGTACCCGCCTAATTTTGAGGAAGCAAGCATGAATTTCATTTTGCAATCTTCAAATTATTAGTTTATGCTCCCTTTGATGAGAATCATGTAACCTTCCATGGAGGTTCTCCTAGTGAGGGGAATGAGTTAGTCCTTCATTCTAGATTTGGAATGCCAAGTTTACTTTGCAGGCCAATCAAGGAAGAAAGGATGGATCTTGACTACCTATGTGATAGGGAGTTGGTTCAAGAGAGCTATGATCAAGGTGATGAGAATGTCATTCACTTTGGGGTGCAAACCAAAGGAGATGAAGACCTCATGGAAATAAGTGCCGAAGAGTATCAAGAGAGTTTGACTCTGTGTGCTCCATGAAGATCATTGATCAAAGCTAGTGAGAAGAGTCATTTAGGTTCTTGAGTGGACGGCCTATTTGATCAAAGTGTTCAAGATTGAGTCCATTGCTACAAAATTGGATAGGTTGCAAACTATCTTAATTGTTTCAAGTGTTTTTCCATTCTTTTGGAGTCAATAAGGTGAATTCTACAAGTTTTGGAGTAAATTAGAGGTTTCTACAACTTAAGGGGCGCAAGACCAATATTCCACTTTTGGAAGGGCGTTCAAGACATTTTACTTCAACAATTTGAGCTGAATTTCGAGATTAGAGTCATTGTCTAAGTCTAGGAGTTATTTTTGAATTTTATCTAGTTAAATAAGTCATGTGGACTGAATTAAGCTAGAGTGTTTTGATTAGGAGTCTTAGATTCCTTCTAGATATTATCCTACTTGAGGATAAGTGATTTACATAAGGTTTCCTAGATTTTAGATAGAGTCAAAGAGATCAAGTACTCTTCTACTTTTACTCCTTGTGAGATAAGATTAGAGAGTCCTAATTGGTCTTCTTTTTAGTGGTGCTGGCCGAAAAATTCAAGCCTATATATGGGGGGCTTGGCCGAATTTTAGAAGCACCCTTGAGTGGTCATTTTTGTTGTCTCTTTGAGAGTTTTTCCTGTGAGGAATTTTGTTAAATGGAGTGTCCATTTTTCGTGTCAAGTATGTTTAAACCAAGAGGGTTTTCATCTTGTCTTGGATCTTTTTGATCTTGCAGAAACCATTCTTTTTCAAGTATGCTTCTTGATAGAATTGTTTTAAAACTAAACTTCTTATTTTCATACTACTTCTAGTAGTTCGATTGATGAGCCTTTCCTTTGGCTTGGTGTTCGAATTTCATGATGAGTGTGTTCATGAGATCCATTGTGGGGTTTGTCCTACTTTTGTTAGGATGAGTTGTGCTTTGGCATAAGCATTTTGAGATAGTGTATGTGTTGCATATCTTTGGTTGGTTATGAAGATTACTAATCAATAGTATTCCTTCATAGTTGGGCATTGTTTGCTCCTACCTTTCTTGAGTCTCTTGATTAATGACTGATCGAGTATATTGAATGGTGTCCTTGCTATTCTTAGCGTGGGTTGTTGTTTAATTCGAATCTTTCATGGATAATGTGTTCTTTGCTTGGTTTGAGTTAAGAGATAGAATCACTTAGATAAACGATCGTCTTACTGTGAATTTTCCGCACTCTTTTGAGTTTCACGGGATAGACAAAATTATCTTCGTACCTTCTTGTTGATGGTTGCATTAACGAAATTTGCTTCGTCTACAAGATTGCTATCACCCTTCATCCCAAAATTAATGTCCAGTTTTAGTTTTCATTAATAGTTAAAATGTAATGAAAATGAAAATCTAAACTGCACAATAATTTTGGGACAAAGAGCGTACATATAAAAACAAATGCAGAAAAAAGGAAAATATTTCACATGATGGAGAAAATCTAAAAATTCAAAGAAAGGCTTCCCATGTGCATTACAAAATCCCACCAGGTCCAAGCTCTCAATTACCCACAAAGATA